TGATAACATGTGGTCATTGAGGCTCCACTCATCACTCTCAGGCCTCAGCATCTGTGAGGACCCATGTTATGTCTAGGTGGTTTGGAAATGTCGCGAAGCCTGGAGTTTTCTTGTTCCCTGCATGAACAGACAATAGCATCAAATGACACATGACTTGAGGAATGTTAACGACAGTCGTTCATCGATTGAGGATTGTTATCGACAGTTGTTCACGCGATCCCTTAATATGTTTCAGATACATTAACATTTGGCAATCACCACCATAAATGACTAGTACTCTTCCTAAATTGACCATAGAAAGAAGAATCCCCACCACATGTTTCAGATACATTAACATTTGGCAATCACCACCATAAATGACTAGTACTCTTCCTAAATTGACCATAGAAAGAAGAATCTCCACCACCTTGTAATGCCTCAGTTCTTGCCTGACTTCAGTTACTTCAATTGTAATGCACCTCTCGGCCGCCTTGAGTGATTGGAGTCGCTTTCTTGTAAGGGTCACAGAAATGAATTTTAAATCCCAATCCTTGGTTTCTAATTTAAGTTGCGTGTGGGCTAGACGATCAATGATTACGAAGTAGTCCCTCTTTTTGGGTGTTATTATTGAACTTCAAACAGGATGTAAGTGTTAACTATGGAGAAGAAGAAGTGTTGAAGAGAGAAAAGTAAAGCTCTGTATATTCTCTAAAATTGTGTTTTTTACATTGTTCTTAAATGAACCACAGACCCAAGCTTATATAGCTAGCTAACCTGCTTAACAAATAGCTTAACAGACTAACTAATCAAACTACTAAGCACGTGAAGGGCTAACAAACTTGCCACCTCACCAAGGACACGTGTCACTAGTAACATCAGCTAACATTCCCCCTCAATCTCAGCTGGGTTGTTACCTAGCCTGAGATTGGAACGATGTCGAATGAACACTGGACTATGAAGGCCCTTGGTAAGAATATCTGCAACCTGACCATCTGTGGGAATATATTGCACAACCAGATCTCGACATTGAACTCTTTCTCTAACAAAGTGATAATCGATCTCCAAATGTTTAATACGCGAGTGAAAAACTGGATTGACACTAAGAGCCAATGCTGACATATTATCACTATGAATAATAGGTGCCTCTGGCAGTGTCATATGCAAATCACACATTATCTGTCTAATCCAAGCAATGTCTGCTGCACAATTGGCTAGAGTACGGTATTCGGCTTCAGTGGAACTACGAGAGACTGCAGCTTGTTTCTTTGATGACCATGAGATTGGATTATCACCAAGAAATACAACATAACCTGTGGTAGAACGTCTGGTGTTAGGATCACCTGCCCAATCAGAGTCACAATAGCCAGATAAAAGCATAGAGCCAGGAGAGAATGTGATCCCATACTGAAGAGTACCTTGCAGATATCGCAAGATACGTTTGACCAAAGCAAAATGTGTATCAGTGGGAGCATTCATAAATTGACACACTGTGTTTACTGCAAAAGCAATATCTGGTCGTGTAAAGGTCAAATATTGTAATGCTCCAACAAGACTTCGATACAATGTTGGATCAGAAAGAAAAGTACCTTCATCTTTCAACACAGACTGATGAGGTTTAATTGGAGTCAAACATGGTTTACAAGTATCCATGCCTGCCTTCTTAAACAAATCTCGAGCATACTTAGCTTGATTGACAAAAATATCACCATTGTCCTGATAATGAACCTCCAATCCCAGAAAATAGGTAAGACGACCTATGTCTTTCATATCAAATACCTCCCCCAAAGAATCAATAACAGATTGTACCACTTGTGTATCTGATCCAGTGATGATTATATCATCAACATACAATAATAGAATAACCACAGAGGTAGAATTTTGTCTGACAAACAGACTAGGATCTGAGTGAGATGATTGAAACCCCAAAGAAGGCAGATAACCTGTAAACTTGGCATTCCATGCACGCGGTGCCTGTTTTAAACCATATAGGGATTTCTGTAATTTGCACACATAATTAGGATATGTAGAGTCAGTAAAACCTTAAGGTTGCCTCATATAAACCTCTTCTTGCAATTCCCCATGAAGGAAAGCATTTTTTACATCCAATTGCCGTAAATCCTATTTAAACATAGCAGCTAAACTGAGTACTAATCTGACTGTGGTGTGTCTCACTACAGGACTAAATGTTTCGTCATAATCCAAACCATGCTCTTGACTGAATCCTTGAGCGACCAGCCTAGCTTTGTATCTAGAAATTGTTCCATCTGAATTTCTTTTTATTTTATATATCCACCTACATCCTACAATATTCTTGTCAGGAGGAGAAGGAACAAGATTCCATGTACCTTGTAATTGAAGAGCTTGGATTTCCTCTGCCATAGCCTGTTGCCATTCTGGTTGAGCTGCTGCTGCCTTAAAATAAGTTGGAGCCTCAGGTTCTATGACAGAAGTAAGCATAGTTGCAAAGCATGAGAATTCTGGAAATTGTCTTTTCTGAACAACCCCAGACTTGAGTCTGGTTTGCATAGGATGACAATTAATAGAATGAGGCATTGCATAGGCATCTGATGACTCATGAATATTTGAGTTGGATGGAATAGGTAACACTACCTCCAATTGATTGGTTGAAGTAACAGGTAATATAGAACCTGATGAGAACTCTAAGGACTCAATATTATTGGACATTGGAAGTTCTGAATGAGGTTCCATAGAAGACTGAGCAGAAGAGGTAGATTGTTGGGAAGATGTATGAGGCAAAGTAACTGAGATATTGACTGGCCTTGGATTAGATGAAGCAACTGTAGTAGAAATTGGAGGCGACTTTAACACCTTAAAGGCAAAGAGACTATCACAATGAATCACATGCAACCAAACACCTTCATGGCACTTAAAACCGGATGATAACCGAAGAACTTATAATATGGAGAAGTCATGTTCAACAGTACTCGTATTTTTCTACTGAAACACTAACTTAATAAGTAATAAGTAATGATCAACATGGTATCCATTAGGTTAAGTACTTGTGCTCCTAATTATGGGTGAAATTAATCACATCGCACATATGGTACAATAATCGCGGTGTTTGGGCAATGAGGATAAAACTTTGCGTGCTACGTACGTAATTCTGCATGAAAAATAGAAATTCAACGTTGTGTGATACGTAATTTTGTATGAGAAAATCTAATTATAGAGATCTCACTCTTACCTTAATTAGCATGTTCTCGTGTACATATAACGCATCATTATTCGTACAAGAAACTAATTTTGGCTGTGATGTGTGTTTCAACTGTAGAATGTGAGAGATTACAAAAGAAGAGACGCAGTCCATCTTTTCCAAATCAACCACAATCAATCGTTTAGGTTATAACCTAGCATAGCTAGACTTAATATGTGGATGGATCAATTGCCTTGATGAATCCTTAAGCATTAAAACAAAATATAATTACAAAAATAATTGTAACTCAAAATCAAAACAATCAAATTAATAATGACAGAATTAACCTAGTCTGAGAGAGGTCGTGGCCTTTGTTCCACATCGGAACTTCCATCCCTTTGGCAGCATCCATATTCTGTTCCATGCCGATATATGTGAACAAACCGTGAAGAGAAATATTGGAGTCTCACAAGATGATGCCAACCATTTGAATCTCCTTTCAGCAGTCGCATTTCATGAAAAATAACAAAATCAAAATCAAATTAATCCCTACCAAAAAAAAAAACAAAAAACCTTTGGGTTTTTTATCATCATCCTGTGCATGAGTTGCTTGGAGGCCCACATCGTCCATATCGGCAAGTCGACTGATCATATAATATAACAAAGAAATACAGCTATAACTATTGAAAATCGATGTTGGAGTGCATATATAAACCATTAAAATTTAAACTTCATATAAAAAAAGGGTTTTATCATATACACACAAATAGAAAGGCACGAAGATAAAATGGTCAAGCACCTTCAAATAAGAACAAGTCGGTCTAATTATTATGACCATGTCATTCTTCGACAATGACATTGACATTGACCATGGGTGCATTTTTGTTGTTAAAATGATTGGTCTCTAATAAAGTTTTTTATTTACTTTTGTGTCATGGACAGCCTGCCCCACAGTAATATTTACCATTCAAGAGTGACATCCATGGATGTTATGTTTGAAATGGACTGTAATAACTTTCTTTTTCCTTCCACTCCAACCGGAAGAGGAAAGCTTTAATTGTTTGTACTAATTAGACAATTTAAGATTTGAAGTGAACTTTTAAATCATTTATTAAATTGCACAAAATGCTGTTAGGTATTGCCCAGATCCATAAAAAAAGGTGTCCAAATCCAAAAACAAACAACAACAAAAAAAAAAAAAAAGGAAAACTGTCTGCTAAAGTTCAGGTAAATAAAAAATTCTGCCATCTAACGGTCCTAGTTCCTCGAACAGGTTCTCATCCTCATCAACGGTTGTAGGGTCGTTTGCCTCGGCCTCCTTAAATCCTTCCTCATCTCCACCATTGGGTTCTGCTTGATCACCAGCATTCAGGCCATCAACAGGCGCCCTAGGGTTTGGTTCAGTACTGTCGACATGAGAGTTGAGATCCGGGATTTCTGGCTTGTCTGGTAAATAAATCATGTTCCAATCTAAGGGTTCTAGTCCCTTGAACAGGTTCTCATCCTCATCAACGGTTGTAGTGTCGTTTGCCTCGACCTTCCTAACTCCTTCCTCATCTCCACCATTGGGTTCTGCTTGATCAGTAGCATTCAGGCCATCAACAGGCGCCTTAGGGTTTGGTTCAGTACTTTCCACAGGAGGGTTGACGTCCCGG